ACTTCAAGATGTCACCGTGTACACATCACATTGTAACTGCATTGTTCTTGGTAAAACACCAAGGAAAGTGCTAAATTGCATTGTGCCTGGTTCACACTAGTTGTGATTTCAGATGCAACTTGAGTCACACAGAATCGCATAACAAGGGAAGTCGCATGGGTTTCAATGATGTCTGTTCACATTATTGCAGCTCATCATAGAGCGATTTTGGAAAAGTTTCCTGTACTGCTTTGGTGCAATTCCAGTGCGATTTTGGTCCCATAGGATATGCAAAGTTTATCAAAGTTTCATTTAAGCAGTACTACTTAATCGCACTGAAATCATATCGCAGCAGTGTGAACCTAGCTGGATCAACTGGGAAGGGAGAAAAATAAAAAACATGTTTTATGAAGGATATGTTCTGTATTTTCTCAAGTCCATTTCATCCCTCAAGTCCTATACCGATTAAGTAATAAAAAGCCTAATCTGCTAATATGTGATTGTGAAATGTTTGCATCACATCCCCATATACACACGTACACAGGGAACAGATTTGTTGTCTGTCCATAGAAGTTTGCTAGAAATGAAAGCAGGCCTGTCGGAAAAGACTTTCATGATCCCCATGTGGGGGACATCTGTCCTCCAGGTCTCTGGGATTGTAGAGTGGAAAGATGAAAACTGTTAGGAAATATCCTGCTAAGAAAAATTCTTAGAAGTTGGTATTATGTCCTGAAAGCATATACAGATGGGTATAAAACTGCTGGGCAAGATGGGGACACATTGCCGCAAATTTGAAGTGGCCCTGATGATTTAGAAACTCAACAATGGGTTTGATTCTGTTAATAAAAAGTATGAATATATTATCTGCCAAAATTGTGTATTTTAACCCCTTCACGCCGGCCGCACGCACGCAAATGTGCGGCCTCCCAGCGTCTGGGCCTAGACGCCGAGCGGCCGCACATTTGCATTCAATATACAAAATACATATGTGCTGAGAGCGTGCGCTCCCAGCACCCATGTAAGTTACTCACCGAAAGGTCACGGTCTCCTCTTGCGATCGGGACCTTTCCCAATCATGTGACCGGCTGTGACGTCACGGCGGCCACATGACACTAAGCCCCGTCCCGTCCACTCCCGACGCAGGAACTCCTCTTCACGCCGGGGCGATCTGGCGTGAAGGGGTTAAAATGACTTATTTCTTAGTTGAAAATCTGGCTTATGATGTCCATTTAAATTTCCCGTCACTAGTGTTAAATTATTGAGACAAGCTGTTAGTCTCCATGTACACGAGCCTACCCTGACCGCTAGGCCACAGGAAAACGTGAATTGTTGCAAAACCACAGTACCGCGTTTTTTCTACATTTTCCCACGGTCGGTGGTCAAAACGTTCCTATCCTGAATGCGATTCCTCCGTGTTCAGGAGAGGGAGGTTTAACCTCACCTAAACGCTGCAGCTCCTAAACTCTTCTAGAAGCCTGTGTGTACATGGACACATAGGCTTTTACAGAGTTGAGTTTAGGAGCGTTGGCAAAAAAATGCCAAAAGCTCCTAAACTCGAGTTTAGCACCTGCTCAGGTACATGAGCCCTAAAACAGATTTAAAGGGTAACTCTACTTTCATTGGTAAGAAAAAGAGCGAATTAAAAAAATAATATAGCGTATAGAATTGTGGCGCAAGTCATATTGTAACTGAATGTTGTCAAAAATTACCTTTCCTTTTCAATCTGCAGCAATGTGATTTGCTGTAAAATGCAATATGGCAACCTGGATGAGTTCTGTACACAGATGGTGTACAGATCACCCCCCAGAAATGTCATTTCCTGCTTGGCTGACTGATTCTTCCAGAAGTCTGCACCAAGATACAAGTCAGATTTTGGGAATTCCCTTGCAACAAAAATTGATTGTTTTTTTTTTGGTGAGATCCTTCTAAAGGGCAATCGTGTCTAAAGGGATGCAGACCCTGCCACTTTCCTCATTAGAGCCCTACAAGTGCAGCAGCTGATTGATAATTATGACATCACTCACATTCCTTTTGCACATGAACAGGCAATGTGTGAACTCTTCTCTCAACTATATTCTAACCCAATCCTATCATCTGTACATCGAATCAATAAATATTAATTCACATGAAGTCCTATAAATGTCTCTGAAATCGCAAAATGTCCAAACACTTTCTTTTCCACCTTCAAATCACATCGTGTCGCGCTGTATATGGTAGTCCAACGTGTTGTATCCCAACATTCGTGAACCTCAAATAATATATAAACTAGAAATAGTGTATTACCTTTTAAATAAACATGCCAGTGCAGCAAATAATGTGTCATGCATACTGCATATCATGTGTACAAAAAAAAACCAATATAAAATATATATATTAAAATAATAATATATTATATAATAAATGTAAGATTAATATCACACGTGAATCAAAAAGTGAACACGCCAATTCCAAAAACAATAATCATACCGTGATCTCTATATAATGTGATTGACTCATCCACTGAATCAAAAATTAAATCAACCAAATAGTGAAATCCAAGATGTGCAACTCAAGTGAAAACACTCCAACTGGTGCAGCAATGGGTAATTACCCTATGTAGGTATTATCAAGCTTTTCCCACACAGTAGATGCTGACACCTCCAGGCTTCTTAATAGTCCTGTTATCATGTTCCCATGGTCCTCATAAGGCAAATCAGATATTTAGAGACTTATATGTAATCAAATGTAACATATTTATTCAATCACTTACATAAAAACTACTAAAAACCGCTTCAAGCATCAGAAGTAGTCCAATGTGGTCTTATTCTGGCAAAAACAGCATGTTCCCTAAACAAAGATGGCCGCGATCGTACTTCCGGTAAACGTAGATGCGTCAGACGTCACGTGTACCGACACGTTTCGTCACTTCCTGGACTTTTTCATAAAGGGATCCTGCATGAACAGACAAACAACCATTTCTTCAGAATATCAAAAGATAGGACTCCTCAACAAAGTTAAAATCCCTGCAATGCACAAAGATCACCCAGAGGGGAATGTTTTGGGTTTTTTTTTTCTCAACAAAAGTGGAGTTTCACTTTAAAAGTAGATCTCCAGTTTGGATTTTTAACTTCTCTTTGCTGCAGAGGGGGTCCTGACTCCACGTTTTTTCTTGTGTGGTACAGCACCATGTTCTGCATGCAGGACTTCTTTATGTACTCTCCCCTGGCAATCGCGTTGAGAACTTCTGGCTGTGCGACTTTGTTCCTCAGCAGCCGCTTCCTGTCATGGCAGGCTGTTCTTCTAACGCCCCCCTGTAGTTTTCAGTACTGCATGGGTAAGGAAGAAAATCACCAGCACTCCAAAGATGCATTTTCAATGTATATTAGGAACACACCATGTCACATAGGTCAAATTGTCAACATTTCAGGGCCTTGCAGGGTCCCCTTCCGCAGAGTGGCCATAATTCAGTTGCCCAGAGGAAGAGGGGACCCTGTGAGGCCCTAAAACATTAGCAGATAGAGCTATGTAAGATTGTCTATCAAAGTTACAATCAAACATTGAGAACAGGCAAGCGCTTTATTACAGAGGAGACGGCAATGTCTCTTCTGCTATACATCTGCCTGCCTGTTGCAGTCCTCTGTAGAATGTACACTAAGCTGCACATGCGCAGCTCAGTTTATATTCTGGCACAGCACCTGTATGCCGGGATGACTTTATCCTGCATCGGCCAGTCAAGGTGGCCAAGGACCAGCACCCGGAAGAAGCCTGGAGAAGATGCTGGCAATGGACCTTGCATTTGTCGGACTGTTGGACTAGAGATAAGAATTTATTACTTTAGCTCTGTTTTATAAGATTTTGGTAAAAATTACTTTTTTTTTCCTTACTACTGATTTTGCACATGGTGCCATCCATTTTACAGTCACTATCAGCACCCATTTGAATCACATCTGGTCAGGACTGTGCAGCTACATATAAGAATTGCAAGTATTAAAGGGGTGACCTAATAATCCAACCATGCCTGATGAAGGGGTCCTGCGAGACTCCGAAACGTTGCCTTGCTGTAATTATGCGATCGTTCATTAAAACTTTTGGACCCATAGTAATGATCCTCGGTGTGCTGGTGACATTTTCCCTTGCTAATAATCCAACCATCACAGTGAGTGGTCCTTATAATTGGCTCTAACAGCACAGCGGCCATGCCCACAGCAGAACCGCACACATTTGTGGGACATGTCCCAGCGTGATCACTGCCCATCGCCATATCACAGGAAGGAGAATAATGGCGTTGGATCGGTCACATGACTCCATTATTTAGCTAGACATTTACAGTAGATAGTGTACATCGTCCATGGGTAGGGGAGAGGAATGGGGAAAATTATTATTTTGATGGCTGGACTTCTGCTTTAATACATAACTTTCTGGGGGGTGGTGTATTGTTGACCTGTTGAAGAGCTATGCTGGTATCTGACAATTTCATATCCAAAATACCTCTTCCCCCAGTGGATGCTGGGTCCCCCTCCCCAAACTACTGTACATTACTACAGCACGTGGACGGTGTCTTTTCACTTAAAATGGTTGTAAACCCTTACCCAGTGAAGTGACTGGTCTCAGGTGATTGAGATGAAACAAATCCTCCTGCACAGGTTGCATCTGTTAATCTCTGCAGTCTTCTCTATAGCTGATCAAAGTTCAGAATTTATAATGCTTGTCTGAGCTGTCAGGGGAAAAAAGAGATGGAGAGCTGAATTTACACACTTCAGAGCTCAGTGAGCTGATTGGAAGGAAGGGACACACCCCCCTTTACACAGCTTACAAGAAGAACTGAGGCTGTCAATCTGCTGAAGGTCCCTCCCCTGTCACCATTTTTATCTTGGTGCCAGGAAAACATGTCAGACGTGACGCATGCAGATAGCAGAGGGACAAGACAGCAGACATAAATGACACTTGGTGCTCTGGACTGAGACATGTACACACTATAGAGGGATATTCTTTGTCCATACAACCACTTTAAGGTATTTCAATATCAATTCTGTATCCCTTTTCTTTTGAAGCAACTGTCCGAGGCTCAGGAGAGGCTGAGAACTCAAACGAAGGAACTCAAGGACGCTCACCAGCAAAGAAAATTCGCCCTGCAAGAGTTTTCAGAGCTCAACGAAAGGATGGCCGACCTTCGCTCACAGAAGCAAAAGCTGTCCCGGCAGCTACGCGACAAAGAGGAAGAACTGGAAGTTGTCATGCAGAAACTGGACTCCATGCGTCAGGAAATGCGCAAGTCTGAAAAGGCCAGAAAAGAGGTGATCTTTCATACTTTGGTGATTTTAACTGAATTCTTTACGGCAACCACTGGCTTGCTCGTTATCGTGTAAAATAACTGTCACTGTAATTAAAAGCTGCTGGCACAATGTACAGGCATATATCCCCCCACTCCCCTCCACCCACTCACACCCTGACTCCCAATGTTTCCAGTTGCCCACTGAGGCCGCCTATCAGACTGATGGGCCCATAAATTTTTTTGTGGCAGGAAGGAGCAAGCAGGTAATCTGATGCTTCCAGGAAGAGTTTCAGAACTATGCATGCTTTATTATTATTGTTTTATATTTTCTTTGCCAGAGTCAAGTTACTGGAAGATTCACTTTTGTGTTGTAGCTCAGGATTTTCATAGATCTTTGGGAGATGTGTAGATTGTATTATAAATAGGATTGAAAACCTTGACAAGGTATTGGCCTTCTCATACTTTATACGTGTGCATTTTAAAGCCCAGATCCAGGTTGGTGCTCTGCCTTAAATTGAAGCTCATTCTACACCATCTTTGTAATTTTTTTATACAGCTTTTTTTCTATGGGTGTTTGATCAGTTCACTGGATGTCATGGATCCTCCTCTGGTGATAGGTGGGTCCTAAATGCTGTAGAGAGCTGCACCACGTAATGACATGGCACCACTCTGCAGCATTCTCTTCTGAGGCTATGACAGCATGATGATGCATCCCCAAGGGATGAACCCTGGGCTTTCAAAAAGAATGTTGAATGACAGTGTCATTCAACTCCTAAAGCATGTGGTGCTCAACCTGTGGCCCTTCAGCTGTCCCAGAACTACAAGTCCCATCATGCCTCTGCCTTTGGGAGTCGTGCTTATAACTGTCAGCATTGCAATGCCGCATGGGACTTGTAGTTCCGCAAAAGTGAGAGGGTCACAGGTTGAGCACCCATGCCCTACAGCAGGGGTGTCCAAACTATGGCCCTCCAGGTGTTGGGGAACTGCAAGTCCCATGAGGCCTTGCAAGACTCTGACATCCACAGGCAAGACACCCAGAAGCAGAGGCATAATGGGACTTGTAGTACTTCAACAGCTAGAGGGCTACAGGTTGAGCACCCTTGCCCTGAAGAGTGAATACTGCAACAAGGGCAGCCTTTTTATTTTTATTGTTACAGTGCAATAGAAATTATACTCACCTTGGATCCAGCGATGAGACGTCCCAGAGGAGTGCCTCAGCATTCCCTGACATCTTTGGGCAGGTGGCTTCTGGGTTTCAATTGCCGGCTGTTTTTATTAGCTGTCCAAGGGGGTGATGTCACTCAGGAGTGCAGTCAGCTTTGACATTGTCGAATTTCTACAGTGAGCTGCACGTACACAGCTAGCAGTACAGGGGCAAAGATAAATAACTTTGATGTAGAAGAGACAAAGCCTATCTCTTCTGCATTAAAAATCCTACCTGTTCTTTTTTTTTTTTTTTAATACTAAAGTTCCAATGCATCTGGCAATATAGAGTGAGTTTCTTGTTTTATTGTTACACATGCAATTTATTTCTTTTATGTTCATTTTTTCACAAAGGATTTGTGTGTGAACGCTGCAGGAATTGATTATAAAGCTCCACTTTAATTTTTTTTTTGTTTTTGTTGTAGTTAGGCACAGCATATGTGTAATAATGTAAACCATGTCTTATTTTATTATAAGATTCATGATCAATTTCAGTGCGCAAAGTGATTATTTTTTATATATATATATATATTATATATATATATATATATATATATATACTTTTTTCTTGTTGCTGTGGTGACAGTACTAACCTTTATTTTAATATCTAATATAACATTAGTATTTATTTACTTTCTTTGATCTTTTTGGTGCCAGCTGGAAGTTCAACTGGAAGATGCTACATGAGGCCTCCAAGGAACGCAAATTACGAGAACACAGTGACAATTTTTCCAAACAGCTGGAAAGTGATTTGCAAGCACTTAAGGTAAGGCATTATAAGTTGTCCCCCCCCCCCTCTTGTTTTTGAATAAATGCATAACAGTTTTGGACATCTATTATTTTTCAAGGGGTACTAAATGCCAAAATAAAAATATAACACATTGCAGATGTGATGGCTGCATTCGTTTTTTCTTTTTTTTAGGCTTTTTTTCCTTATTTTCACCTGGTGATCCAGACAGTAACACACTTATGTCTTAGGGTGTCTGCGCTCTGGATGGTGAAATGAAGACAGCAGCATTGTCAGTCTTCGGAGAGGGTAGAGTTAGATGGACTGGACTAACAAATTAAACCTTTCAGTGTTAAATGGTTTGTCTCAACCCTCTGTCACTTTTGCTGGACAGTTGAAATAAAACAAAGACTTACTGGCTGGATTAACAGGTGAAAATGGAGGGGGAAAAGCCTAGAAAAATAAAATTAATGCAAACACCACATCTAAGAATTGATAATCTACAATATAATACGATTTTTTGTTTTTGGATTTAATACTGCTTTAAGTTTTTTTAGTGCTGGGATTAAAGGACCATTGCTCTTTTGGAACACCTATTCTTTAAAAGAAAAGTGCAGGAATAAAATAAAAAACATACATATTCATATGGATGCCCCATTGTTTTATGGAAAAGAAAATTCTCAACCTAGAGAGGACTGAATTGAAAAAACCCGAAAATAAAAGTGAAAAAACAATGCAGCTGGCTAGTCCATTTTGCTGAAATTCAATTGCAGCAACTCAAAATGGTCCTCAGTAGTCTGTATGGCCCCCACGTGCTTGTACACATGCCTGACAGCGTCGGGGGCATGCTCCTAATGAGACGACGGATGGTGTCCTGGGGGATTTCCTCCCAGATCTGGACCAGGGCATCACTGAGCTCCTGGACAGTCTGAGGTACAACCTGGTGGAGTCGGATGGACCGAAACATGATATCCTCGAGGTGATCTATTGGATTTAGGTCAGGTGAGCCATTCAATGATATCAATTCCTTCATCCTCCAGGAACTGCCTGCATACTCTCACCACATGAGGCCAGGCATTGTTGTGCACCAGGAGGAACCCAGGACCCACTGCACCAGCATAGGGTCTGACAATGGGTCCAAGGATTTCATCCCAATACCTAATGGCAGTCATGGTGCCATTGTCTTGCCTATAGAGGTCTGTGTCCCTCCATGGATATGCCTCCCCAGACCATCACTGAGCAACCACCAAACGGTCATCCTGAACCATGTTACAGGCAGCATAACGTTCTCCACGGCTTCTCCAGACCCTTTCACATCTGTCACATGTGCTCAGGGTGGACCTGCTCTCATCTGTGAAAAGCACAGGGCGCCAGTGGTGGACCTGCCAATTCTGGTGTTCAGTAGCAAATGCCAATCGAGCTCTATGGTGCCGGACAAGTGAGCACAAAGCCCACTAGAGGACGTAGGTCCCTCAGGCCACCCTCATGAAGTCTGTTTCTGATTGTTTGGTCAGAGACATTCACACCAGTGCCCTGCTGGAGGTCATTTTGTAGGGCTCTGGCAGGGCTCATCCTGTTCCTCCTTGCACAATGGAGCAGATACCGGTTCTGCTGATGGGTTAAGGACCTTCTACAGCCCTGTCCAGCTCTCCTAGAGTAACTACCTGTCTCCTGGAATCTCCTCCATGCTCTTGAGACTGTGCTGGGAGATGCGGCAAATCTTCTGGCAATGGCACGTATTGATGTGCCATCCTGGAGGAGTTGGACTGCCTGTGCAATCTCTGTAGGGTCCAGGTACCGCTTCATGCTACCAGTAGTGACGCTGACCATAGACAAATGCAAAACTAGTGAAAAGCAGTCAGAAAAGATGAGTAGGGGAAAAATGTCAGTGTCCTCCACCAGTAAAACCATTCCTGTTTTGGGGGTTGTCTCATTGTTGCCCATCTAGTGCACCTGTTGTTAATTTCAATAACACCAAAGCAGCTGAAACTGATTAACAACCCCCTCTGCGACTATTTTACTGACCAGATCAATATCCCAGTAGTTTAATTGACTTTTTGCTAGACTCTGAAAAAGTGTTCCTTTAATTTTTTTGAGCAGTGTATATTTAGTGTGTGTGTCCAATATCTTTCTTAAGATTCCTTGAGGAAGATGGACTGAGCCCCTCTGAATTGACTCAGCACATATTTATATTTGAACATATTCTCCTGCTCAACACCTGTAAGCGCTTCAACTTTCACTTGATATTTTGATGCTTATAAGGCGCAGACTCCGCCAGCTCAGTGGGGGATCTGTCCACTGATCCCCGTTGGGTAAGCAGATGGCTGGTCTGTGTCCACTCCACTTATGCAAAGTGGACCCTGACACAGCCCACTCCCCTCGATGGGCGGTCAGATGTAAACGGACCACCTTTCCATTCACACTTGACTGCCATTCGATCTGCTAGATGGAAGGGGAATAGACCCCCATCCATCTGTTTTTACCGGATGTAGGCAAGTGTAACTGGACACATGTCCTGAAAAACAGACAGATGGACCCAGTCGGTCCGCTTGTGTGAACGGGGGGCCTAACTGTATTTTACCTACTTTATGTTGTGTGCAGTGACTACTAATGCAAATTAAATGTATACATACAGCGGTTTATTGAGGGAGAGATAACGACGCATAAAAGACAGATGGTAAATAACAACGCAGAGCCTGCTAGCTGAGAAGAATGCACTTTTGGCTGTAGATTTCATGATAGTTGACAGGGGGAGGAAAATATAAGATCTGCAAATCTGCTGTACTTTGTTACACCTGTAACTTCACTTTTGGTGTGTTGATCGATACAACTATGCTTGATCTTTGAATGTCCTGCTTTGTTGTACAGTGATTGTTATACTGGTCCACTTATGTCTGTGGAAGACTGTGGTCAGAACTCTGATTGTCCACCAAACTAAACTTTCAACTGAAATCTCAATTCTGGATGGACTGACCCTTGAACTTGTGTTCCTTTTCCAGCTGAAGCAGGGTGGTCGAGCCCTTGGAGTCACCTCTGAGCAACAGCAGGAGCTCTCCAAGGTAAAGACAGAAATGGAGAAAAAGATCCTATATTATGAAGAGGAGCTACTGCGAAGGGAAACTACTCACACCCTCGAAATAAAGAATGTGAAGAAGGGGATACAT